GGGGGGGGGGGCGTGTCTCTGTTTACCTGCTCGGGCTGCGCCGCCGCCTCGGGCATGCGGTCCGCGGGGAAGGCGGCGTGGAAGGTGACTCGGTCCCGCACGGGGACGTAGCACCGCCGCAGGAAGCGCACGTACGCCTGCACCAGAGGCCACTCGTCGCCCGCCGCGTACAGAGCCACGGACACGGGCCCGGTCCAGTGGTGCACCACCTGCAGCGCAGCAACAGTAAGGGTGAGTAGGACTGGCAACTGAGGCGCCAGTGGGGTGCGATTAGCTGTCACCGCAAGGAGCGTTTGGTCCCTCTCGTCCGTCTATGCTTGTAACGTGCGAGGCAATATGTATTTTAAAAACGAAATAGAATGGTTGGATTGAATGTGCACTAATCCTATCGGGGTAGGGCCCCAGGCCTCGCTCTTGGCCCTGGGTGGTTCTTTCCTCCGAGGCGTGTCCGCCGATGCGTTGGCCTGGCCATGAGCGGGCCCTTCTATCTCCTATCTTGTCATCGAATGGCGAGCCGTGTTCCCATAAACCAGCCCTCCCATCCCCGCAGGTTCCACTCCCACTATAGCGTGACAACGGGCTACGTGTTTTCCAGATGCGGTATTCCATCGACCCTGCAGTGTTATCTCCGATCAACCTTTAACTGCCGTGAAAAACAACGAAAATAGCAATGAAAATCGATGCTAATTTTCCGCCGTGCGATCCTAGATCAGAGCGTAGATAGACAGTGATCCAGTCGAGTCCAGTGGAAATATTCTTGGGGGGGCCCCGGGGGGGGACAGTCCTATACACGCCCACACGGCTGCATGCGCTACAGTTTAACTACGAAATAATCCGCGGTCTGTCGGCCACCCTCTATAGTGTGGAATTTGATAAAAACGAAGCTCTCGTCTATCAGCGTGGAAAAAGCGCGCCGTTAGGGTTAAGTGATAGTGACTGGCGGGGTATCCGCACACAACCAGAGCTAAAACAGTAGCAGACGTAGCGTGTGGAACCACCGCGAAACCACGGTCGACTGACGTCCCACCCGAGTTATAGGTGATTAGTTCCCGTGAACTTCCCTTTGAACTTGAGCTTGATATCGTTGACAAGTTTCGGGCAGGCGAGTGTGGCGATATGGCCACCGAGCCTGGGAACAGGCGGGCCCAAAAAAAAAAAAAAAAACAGACCAGGTCTCATCGCACCGGGGCCGGAACAAACAAGCGGGGCAACTTCAGTCAGCATTTTTTAAAATTATTTTGAGGTGTGTTAACACACACTTTGCCATGATACAGGTAGGCTACCTCTGTTCTTCCTCCTGTGGGTGCGCTGCTTCTTACGCTAAATGGAACATTCGACTATTTAGCCCTGACCGGCGCGCCCTGACCCTGACAACGTGTTGCTTGAGTAAATAGCGGGGGCCGAGGGAAACTGCCCAGAGAGTCGGCCGGAGGGTGGGGGGGGGGCGTCCTTCGCGGCCGCGTCCACTCGATGTGACAGTGTGCTCAACGAGCGAAAGTAAACAAAGCTCGCTACTCGCAGGGATTGGGTTGCCATCGGCATATGCGAGGGGGGGGG